AGAGCAAGAAGTACAGCTGTGTCATCATTGCCGGTGAGCTCGTCAATGGGAAGCTGATGTCCAAACTCAATTGACCAGGTGACGTTGTAGTCCAGATGAATGGGTATCGTCTGCAACCCAGGGACCCATAGGGGGATGACCATGTCGTACTCTCCCTGGATAACACCGTCCGAATCCTTGAGTAGGATCCGAGTTGCCCGCAAATTGTCACCAACTTTCCAGGCCTTGGCGACTCCTATCCAGGCATTGAGTAAACCGTTGACCTGCAGGATAGCAACTCTTTTGTCTATTCCGGGTACGAAGTCCTCCGGCTTGAAAGGCAGCAAGTTGTCGTTCACAAGTCCAGCCTTGTACAGATTGCGATAGGCTTGAAACGCAGCGTCTTTCGTAGCATTTTGCTCTGATTTCCAAGCCAACTGACTCTCAGAGCTGCGGACCGAGGCCGGTAAGTAGCTCGGCAGGTGAACAGTGGCCCGCAAGTCTGGCGCGCCTTTTGTGTCCGTCTTGTCGATGATGTAGTCTGGCCGCCAGTCGATGAACTCTCCCGGGGAAAGTATCCGGCATATATGGTCGAGATGCTGCTTTGCGTTATCAAGATCCAGAACAGCTCCTGTTTGTTCGATTTTGAAGATCATCTCCTTTGGCTCCTCAGCCTGCTCGATCTCTTGTAGATGTTCCAATTCTCTCTCTTGTTCTTCGTACTGAGCCTTCATCTCCGCCTCCAGGGTCTCCCAATCTTTCCCCAGTGGATTCGAACTCTCAAGTAGCATGAGAAGCTTGGACTGCTTCTTTCGGGCCCGTCCGCGGCGTTGGATGAACGACTTGAGGTTCGGTGGGGTATCGAAACAGACAACCAAGTTGCAGGCCGGCACATCGATGCCTTCTTCTAGTACACTGGTGGCAACCAAAAGATTGCTCCTCCCGGATCGGAATTGGTGCAGTGACCGCTGATCTTCCACTCGAGAAAGGTCCCATATATCTTTCTTCTTGGCTTGAAACTGCGATGTGCCCATCATGGCCCCGATTCGATACCGCTCTCGTAGCAAGCCATGCGATGTTAGCAGATGACATAGAACCGCAACAGTTGCTCTTTCTCTGGCGAATATGATGCCAATGGTGTCAGGTTTATCCTGTAGCAATTGTTCAATGACAACGAACACCTTATCCGACAGGACAGCACGGCTGATGGTCTCTTTCGATGGACACTGGCAATCGACTTGACTGAGAACGTTGATGAGGTATTGTTTCTCTTCATCCTTCCATGTGTCAAGCCAAACGCTTTGGGCCTTGACTGCGGCTCTGAACCTTGAGATCACTTCCCAGATATAATACTCTGCAGCCCAAGGTCCAAGTTCGTTGAAAATCTGATTCGCTTGCCGGCCAAAAGAAGTCATTTGGTTCTGGATGTACGTGTCGTGACTCTTGAGAACCGCAATGAGTTCACGCTGACTGCGATCTGTTCCCTCCGCTTGTAAGTGTCGAATGAAGGGATCTTCCGAGATATCGAGAGATTGTATAGCCATTCTCAAGCTTCGCAGGCTGTTGGGAGTATCGTATTCGTTTCGATTTTGAAAGATTGCGGATGCCAGCTCTGGCTTGTTGACAGCAGCAAGAAGGTCGTCTCGGTGCATCGTCGGGCTCTTGCAAACAGCGTCCAGCGTGGCCTCGAGGGTATTGATGCTTTCGACTTTGGAGCCAAAAGTCGGGCTTGCTGTTAGACCCAGTATATGGGGAGTAGGGAGGCCATTCCGTTGTTCTTCATGGTAGAAGAGTGACATAATTTTGCTTCCCGGAGACTTCCCGATGCAATTGTGAGCTATTTCGTACTGGTTAGCCTCTGCCCCTTTCTAAACCTCTGAACCACAAACCTTCGTCAAAGACTATCAGAGATAGCCTAGACATTGGCACGAATGCGTGCGACATCGCGTCCAACAGAATTTGGTACGTCGACACAACCACGCGCACATTGAGAAGAACCGCATCCCAAGTTTGCTGGTCGGACCATGAATCCACGTTATCGTCGCCACTGAGGAACTTTATCTGAACTTCTGGTATCTGGGTTTTGAGAACTTCGAACTGTTGGCTACAAAGCGATACCGTGGGGGCTAGAAACCAGACAATCTGTACAGTTAGCCTAGCAACAGAGATCCGTAATGGTCTTAACGCACCTTTTCGGACGTCGTTCTCTCCAATTCAGCTCTAATTCTCATAACAGCTCTATAGAAGCTTCTATCAATGTCACGAAACTACGCTTGCTCGGAGGCAGTCCACTTACACTTGAGTTTTGCCACTACCTGTGTCCATCTGCCAAGTGTTAATAACCCATGGTCTCTTTGGGACTGGATCCACAGGCTCGACGAGACTTACAGCAACAATAACGTTTTGCCGCATGCTCTCGGCAAGCATTTCGGACTGGTAGGCCCTCGCATTCATGATGACCGAGTTGCCTGAGGCTGGCTCAGCTAGAGGCGAAGAGGCCTCATTGTTCAGGATCAACTCCTCGGCGGCTGTTGAGAGTGCCTCCTGGTTATGAGGCCCCAGGACCGGCACATTGGGAGATACATCATCTTGCACAGGGTCTGCACCCTCGCCGGAAGATGATGGTGAATGGCCAGTCATTGTTTGTATGGTTTTAGCGTGGACCTGAGGACCCAGTCCTAGGGTCCTGACCACGGTCCTGGGAAGCGCGGTACTTCGGGAGAATCCAAGTAAGCCAAGAACAGGTACACCAGCACGCTCAAAGTACCGGGGTACAATGACTAGACTCGCCCGGCAGTGGGGTGGTCGGTATGAGTCAAAAAATGTAGGTAAGGTTAAATGACGCGGCTCAAAACGGAAAATAGACCAAAAGTTCGTGTGACGCGGGGACCAGGATTCATGGGGCTCGACGCACAGCACTCTGGTGCGTCTGCGGATACAACCTCCGTGTATTCGAACACGCAGAACTTGCCTAGTGCAATGGGTGCGATGCATGCGTGACTCGGCGATAAGTGCCTGATTGCTGACCTGGATATGGTGATGATGCCGTAGTGAAGGCAGAAAAGTCTATGAGAGGTTGGGGTCCCTGCCAAGAATCACGTCGTAGTGGGTGCCTGGAGGGCGTTCGGGAACGTGTTGCCGTTTGTTTGCTTCTTTTCTCGTTGCACATGAGTAGGGAGGAAAATTGAGACCTCGAGGCAACACGTAGTCGTGGCATGCTATCCATATTTGCACTCGCAAGCCAACACGCACTGCAACAGGTCGGTTCTGTTGAGTTCAGGGACTCTGCAGGAGGCCAGCGGCCCACATCTGCGGAGGACGTATACCATTTCGCAACGCAGTTACGCACCGTATTAAAAGAATCATTGTGGCGCTTGTAGAGTGAACTTTTGAACTGAGAAACAGGGATCAAGAGAAGGCGATGGAACAAACGACAGCCTTGGGCCTCGGGTACCCCCGTTCTAATTTCGAAAAGTCGAAGTTTTGCTCCGTATGGCAGCCCCGATTTGCCTGATGTGTCCAGCATAGAAAGTGTTCAAGGTAAATCAGGAAGAACAAAGTAAGACTCGGACGAAAGAGAGAGCGATCTGACATCGGTCCCCGACCAATCAATTTAAGAACTCCCAACCAGGATTTGGAAGATCAGGTACCTATCTTGAATCTTCCGGTAATTCGTCGTGACGGATAATTAATTACTGGCCTGGAGTCCTGACCAACAGCTGTCATTTAGGCTCGCTCATGCTCCAAGCGTTTCCACAGTCACCCGCACTCACCCCGGCTTGAGTATGAGACTAACCCAACCGGGGCCGATGCCGAATTTATCGGTCTTGATTCACCGGAACCCGAGGCCTACTTAGCCACCCGTCCGGACTCTGATTAAATCCAGCATTGTACATGCAGCTAGCTGACGCCTCCAGGAAAACGTGCGTCACTGCCTTGCCAAGCCGAGAACAGGAACATCTTTACTTATGAAAGCAACGCGGCATCGGCTTCGGATCGTGGACCAGGCGTTAAATTGAGAGTCTGCTGCCTCCCGGGGTTCTACCAAGTACATCAGGCCATTCAAGGTACTACTCATCTACCTGGATTGCCAGTCTGTGTCTCTATTGGAGTCGATCTGGCTTCAACCTCAACTCCAGTCTCTGGATGCTACCCTGCTCTTCAATTGAGAGCACTGTGGCGAAGTGCAGCAAAAATTGGGTCATTCGGGCCTGCGTCTCTAATGCAATTCTCTTGTTTGAACTTTTGTTCGATTTTATTCACATGACGGTGAACCAAATACGTAGCCGCATGTTGCAGATCACCTCTTGATTCGCAGAAGTCCTGGAAGTTGAAGGTTCTCCGTTGAAGTCTACTTTGACTTACTGGGTTGTGTCGCAATACTGTGCCTCCCAGGTGCGATTAGCTTAATGCAAGGCCCTGCTACTCGCATGCGGCTTACTTCCCCTCAACCAGTCTAGACAACAGTAGACCACCGCACGAAAGTGTCATCTGCCTGATGATTAGGCACTCTAGGCACATCCGGTGACCGGTCCCAAAATACCTTCAAGCGGGACTATCAGGCGACTGTGTAGGTTGTTGCGGCACAGCAACTGGCGGGCGGTTTCAGATCGCGGTAAGCCAATGAACTGGCTGCCAGAGGCGGCCGACTGTCGCCAGCGATTCTTTTTCACTTCGGTAGTAACCACCTTGCAGCTGTTGCCTGATATATGGCTCCATCCAAGTCTTCGATCAAGATTTCTGCCATCGATAATTACCAAACGACGCCGCATTGTCAGTGAAGTTCCTTTACCAATATCTGCAGTCCGGGGCAACGGTGGTGACAGCTTGCATCTTTCCCTGCGAAGAGAGTTCGCCAGTCGTGGCCAGTCTATCAAGATGCCCAATCACATATGCAACGTATCTCGTCATGTCGTCGTTGCAGGTCATCCATTGAGTCTAGAGCTCGGACTTTTCGTGTCCCCATGTCTCTATGAAATATTCTATGATACAAGGTAAGACCGTCCTAGCCATTGCGCAAATTACAAGTTCGTAAGATAGTCCTCAATCTCCTGAGGGCTGAGCTTTCTGAAGCGAGGGCCCTTGGCACCCTCAACACCCTCGATACCGAGCAGGTGGTCTGCCGGAGGTCCGATGATGCCTATACTCCCAATTAGACGCATTCTTGACGACACACCTTGAATACTTACCAATCTCAATGGTATCTCCATTCATCTCTCCCTCGATGGTCTCCTTGAGTGTGAGCAATGCAATGTGCACGGCGTCCTCAAGCTCCAAGCCCTCCGTGTATCTCTTCTCCAGGAACGTCTTCGCAGACGTAGCGCTCTTGCCAATCGCCGTCGCCTTCCACGGGAAGTAACTGCCAGAGGGATCGACCTGGTACAGCATGGGTCCACCCTTCAGAGTACCTCCGGTCTTGCCTGTGGGCTTCTTCTCCTCGCCTTCCTTGGTCTCGGTCTCGTCCTCAGGCAAAATACCCTCATCCCAGCCAGCAATCAGCAAGCTGACGCCGTAAGGTCGGACACCACCAGACTGAGTAGCCTCCTGCATGACACGGGCAACATCCTGCACCAATATCCGCGTAGGCGGGTATTCGTTGTAGATGCGCTTGTAGCCGGTGTGCGATACCTTGCGAGCCTTGTCCACCAATATTCTGTAGTCGGGACCCATGCCTGAGTACACCATACCGATATCGGGGGTGACGAGACTGATCTTGGACAGCGAGCTAGGGTCGGCAAGGGGCGATGATGACTTCTTCTCGGTCGCAAGGACGATACCGTTGGTGGCTTTCGAGGGGTTAGCATAGGTTGAGGAAGGAGGGGCAAGTCAACTTGCCTTTGATACCGAGGGCGGTGACACCCTGGTTGACGGCGTTCAGAGCATATTCTAGATGAATGTCAGTCCTACGATTCGAGCGTTCGTTCAGTTCCTGAAGTTGGGAGACATTGGCCGGTGGGGGTTGTGTTGGAGCATACCGATCTGAACCAGCTTGCCGCTGTAATCGATTAGCATGTGGACGTCATAGGTTAGAAAGCTTATAAAATTACCTGGGCGAGAACGTCGTCAGGGAGAAAGAGTAACGGTCGGCCATTGCTTGATTATTTGATCGTGTAGTCGAGATGCGATGTCAAGTACAGTGGTCGGAGAGGATAGTGGGTGGGTTGGCTGCGGTCAAACGAGGTGAGGCTGCCAGAGCTCAGGTACGAAGCTCTCCCTCCCAGGCAACTCGCGCCGCGTCAAGCTGCCAGACGCCGGGCGCCGCTCGGGGACCAGTAGCACGTGACATCGCCGGCTCAGTTGTTGATCCGGGTCATACTGCTGACGTAACGGGAGGCGCTGGAAGCTATGACCACCTGAAGAAAGCTCACAATAAAGTGCCTGGTGCTGGAATATTCTTTTTTGCTCTTCGTTTGTCCTGTGCCCTCCCAAAGATCCTATTCGCTTGGCGCAGCTTCTCCGACAGGCACAGCACTTCGAAAGGACAGATCAGGCTTTCATATTGCCTACGCTAATTCTTGTCATGTAGGCGCTGCTGCATTTGGTCAAGTTAGGCCAAGTTTTCAACCCCGAGCCAGCCGGTCTTTCACTGCAAGTCTTCTATTGCTTCTCTTCCTCTCACAGCACAGAGTCACTTCACCCGCGCAATACGGAAAGCCCAATGCTTTGAAGACGCATTAAATCCCAACGTCTACAGCAATCTTTTTTTACTGTTCGTCATGGATGCTGCGAAGCCTCAGTGGAATTGGCCATCTGACCTTCCTACGGGAGGTCCAGCGCGCAAAAGCCATTCTGAAGCCGACCTACCCGAGAAGACAGAGCCTATCAAGTCTGAGGACAATGGGCAACAGGACAGAGACCAACCCCAGGAGCAACCTCATTCTCCGCCCAAGCAAAGATACTATGGGCCGCGAACATGTCGCATCTGCTTCGAGTCGGTTCATCCTATATTCGAAGAGCCAAGTGTCATGAGCGGCTTCATGAACTCACGTCCGCGACCTGTTTACAAATCCGATGATCCCGACTCTGGACGACTTATCTCACCATGCAAGTGCAAGGGGTCTCAACGCTATGTCCACGAAGGGTGCTTGCAAGCTTGGAGGTATGCCGACTCGACAGCTACGCGGAACTTCTTCGCATGTCCCACCTGCAGCTATTCATACAAGCTGGAGCGATTATCCTGGGCGAATCGTCTGCAAGGAACCTTTGCGCAAATAGTACTAACTATCCTCATCTTCATCGTTTCGGTCTTCATTCTGGGCTTCATTGCGGATCCAATATTGAACTTGTGGACCGATCCCATGGGCGCAATCGCGGATATGGCGGCGAATGTTCTTGACGACATCGAAGCAATTCACGAGCCTGTCCCTGAGATGGGTGCGGAGCCTGGAACATGGCTGGAACACTTCCTCAAAGGCTTTTTTTCTCTTGGACTGCTTGGGTTTGTGAAGTCTCTCTTCGCTCTGTCACCCGTCCAATGGTGGAACTTGAGGTCCAGCGGTATCCTTAGTACTTCTGGACGTCGAGGAGGGACTGGTCGCGCGCGTGTCGAGAACATCAACTTGGGCTTGGTTGTCATTGGTGCCGCGACCTTTCTGTGGGGAGTCTGGAAGGGCGTGAGGAAGTTCAGTGCTTCAGCTCTACAGCGTGCGAGCGACAGAGTCTTCGATGTGGGTGGTGACGATGATGAGGATGAAGATATCAAGGAAGACTGACATAGGTCGGAATGTGGAGAAACGCAAACATTCTTTAACACTCGAGAGACGGAACGCCTGTAGCGCCATGTGTCACGATGCCACCCGCACACTCTTAAGTTGCCTCGAAGATTCTCTTCCATATCGTGTCAACTAGTCTGTGTGCGGAGAATAAGTCCCTGCTCTGTCTTTGAATTGAGCCGTTTTGGTCAGATTCACTTTGGACGAGCAGGCGACATCAACCTGCCATCAATCAATCAACATTCTGTTGGCTGACCATGCCGACGACAACTCTCAACATCCTTTGAGTTGGCAAACGCGCAGGCTGATACACATATGTCTCATGGCTTTATCAATGGCTTAGCCTGAAATTTTGGTAGTGATGAAAGACATGAATAAACTTCAATGTGTCACATTTTCGTTGCTAGTTACTGATGGTGAACCGCATGTACAGTGAGAATTTGCAAGGAAGCATCAGTTCGAGTATCGGGTATTTCTTTTAAACAACTGAATCTTATTTATCTAGCAATCTACGCCTCATGGTCAGCGTTACAGGACCCCGCATAGAGCATTAGGTTTGACGTTGCTTTGGTAGTGGGGAACCAGCACAACCCTTGACAGGAGGGACCCAGGGGACCCAGGGATCGCCCGACCGGACAATAATACCACCGACCGGGCCAATGATTGATGGTTTTCGGCGCGGTCCAGATCTAATGCTCCCAAAGTGGACCTCGAATTTAACGAAGCCATAGTATCGAGTTCGTGTTCACCAGCCTGTACATTGACCGGCCGTCCTCGCCCTTGCACCACTGCTTCCCTTGCAACCCTTTCGCTTTCCAGAGTGTCGCCCAGACTTCTCGAGGCCCGGACGTGATGCGCCTCTTTGGATGACGCCCTGCGAATACCCCGACGATCTTTGATTCCGACATTCCATCACCCTTCCTCCCTCCTTTCTGTGCCAAGCCTCTAGTCGCAACGGCCACAGTCAGCGTCTTCTCTCGTGTTCGAACACCGACGAAATTTGTCCTTAAACGCCCGCCATTTCCGGGACATCGAGGCGTCGCATTTCGACGCTGGTCCAGCCGCGACAATTCTCTCGATCGTTGGCCGACGAGTTCTCCCTTTGAACTAATCTCCTAATTCGACACGATGCATTTCGCATACCCACCACGAAAGAGCTCGAACCCGCCTCCCTTCAAGGCGAGATCCTCCAGAATACCACCGGTTCTTCGACGCAGTAGGCTCAAGGTCATCGCGGCAGGCGCTCTTGTATTCTTCGGCTTCATATACCTTCTCTCTGGAGCCTTCAAGTCACCTAGCGGCCCTCGACCACCCTCTGGTGACCCACCAGCGGTGATAGTGACGGTGCTGGATGAGGACAACTTCAGCAATAAATATCTCGCAAGCATTCGCGACAACAGGAAACAATATGCGCAGCTACATGGTAGGCTTTCACTGGTTCTTCTTTGTACTGCACATGCTAATAGCTCTGGTCTTAGGTTATGAGGTGATGTTCGTAAAAGCGGGCGATTACGATCTGAACGGATCTCCACCATCATGGAATAAAGTGGTGTCACTGAGGCACGCGATGACAAAGTTTCCAGAAGCCAGATGGTTCTGGTACCTCGACCAAGACGCTTACATCATGGACCCGGAGACCTCTCTAGAGAATCTGGTGTTGAAGTCGGACAGGCTTGACACTTTGATGGCCAGGGATCACCCGGTCGTCCCCCCTGACAGCATCATCAAAACATTCCCTCATCTCAAAGGCGACGACATCGATTTCGTGGTCACGCAAGACAGAGAGGGTCTTTCTTCGAGCAGCTTCTTCATCCGGAACGGTGACTGGGCGAAGTTCTTCATCGACACCTGGTTTGACCCTCTGTACCGCAGCTACAACTTCCAGAAGGCTGAGGGTCATGCTTTGGTAAGTCCCTTCCTTTTTGCCTCTTGTTTTTGCGTCTGAGCCAGATCTAACCGTTGCCTTAGGAACACATTGTACAATGGCATCCTACTATCCTTTCGAAGCTCGCCATTGTGCCCCAGAAGACATTCAACTCCTACAATCGATATGATAAGGGAGAGATCTACAAGGATGGTCACTTTGTTGTCCGCGCAGCTGGTTGCACAAACACTGGAGAGCGGGCTTGCGACGAGGAGCTAAGCAGCTTCAAGACGAAGTGGCAGGCGGCCTTCAAGGCGCAGTAGACGGAGGGCTAGAAGAGAGCAATGCTTGTCCTCGCTAGAGGAGGACCAACGCACAGAGAAGCTCCAGGCTTTATATTCCCCAGGAAGCATGAACTCGGCATTTCAAGTGTACAAGAGCTGGACGAGGGCGTTTATTTGGGTTTGGGGAGACCATCTCATGAAGGAATTTTGTACGGGGGCTAATGACAGATGGTCAAGATCCTCGGAGGCTACCCGGTTGCATGAGCTTCTCGCACGGCGCTCATGAGGGTTGTTATGTTTTTTTCTCTCTTGATACTTTCGAGATGATGACTCGTTTTGACGACCGAAGGCTTGCGTCTTCTTGTGTTTTGTATACCAACCGATAGACATTGGCCATCCTGCCACAGCGCGGATGCTAACACGGACTTTGTTCGCAAATCTCCATACCATTGATAAGCAATTGTTCTTGGCCGCGATCAAAAATGCAAGATCGTCTCCACTTGGCCAACTTGTCTCCATGAGGATCACCGGCTGCCCGTTACTTGCAAGACGAGTTGGACAGGGAAGGCGACCTCACATCAACCAATAAAAAAGAGTCTAGGCGCAAGTTGTTGGTTGTCGATGCACGTCTGCGATTCGGCTGCAAGGCTGTCGTTCGCTAAGATCGAATTCCCAGGCAGCGCCTGGGATCCGCTTGGATCTCTCGGACGTGAACACTGTCGATGTGACGTGGTCGAGGCAAAGCGCATGGCCACTTTGTCGGAGCTTACTCACTAGGACACTGGTTGACCTTTGGCATTAGGGGCATTGTGCGACCCGAGTTCAAGCCCAAAATTGCTTGCTGTTCGGCATTTCTATTCAGCAGTGTCAGCACTTATGCGAAGAGAGTGATGATGATGACACTCAATGGTTGGAAATGCGACTTCTAGGTGTGTCCGGGGCCATTGGATCAAGCCGGGTAACGGGCGTCCGCGGGCCCGATTCCGCCCCGCTATAGTGGATCTTTTCGCTCCGGGGCAGTCCGCGGACGGACAGAGTTGAATGACCTTCCAAGGTTGCTTTGACAGATAACGCCCCAGACTTATGCTCTAAGCATGGAAATTCCTTATAAAACAAGGCCACACTTCTTTTTGAAGAAGAGGAGTCAAGGTAGCAATAGAAGGCTGGCGATCTGGACGCAAAGTCATGCGTGCATCAGACAAGCTACCCAATCGGCCGAGTCTGAAGGTCC